GATCCCAGGACCCTGGGATCATGACCTGAGCGGAAGGCAGATGCTTAACCAACTAAGCCACCCAGGTGCCCCCAGACAGCACAGAATTCTAAAGTATGTCTCATCTTTGCCTACCACCTTGGCATAATAAACCTCAAATATTAAATGATTGTAGACATTCCCTTCCTGAGACCATGTGGTTGTATTCTCCCAAGTTCCATTTCTTCCACTTCACCTTCCAGTTTTGCTTGTAGAATCGAATAGTCGAATTACTCCTTCAGCTGCTGTGAAATCAAATTATTGGCAGTTCAAGTTCTGTCCAGCTGTAGAGTCTATGACCTAACCTTTTTGTGGTGTTTCCTTGGTTCCCTTTCTGTTTATCCTCACCCTGTACTGACACTATGCAGGCACCAGAATGAGGGTTATCTTCCTTAGATGTGTATTGTTTTCTGCTGCTTCTTATATGTTTTGTGCTGAAGAAATTAAACCCTTCCCTTGGCAAACTCCAGCTACAAACTCCTATTCCAATTAATGACATCATTGTCAACTTTGTTCAAATTTAAAGTTCCCATCCCTCTGCCCCTTGAAAATTTCTTTCAATCTTGAGAATTGTTGCTAATTCTCCTAGTTTTGCAGAGCTTTCATAACATTCCTGCCTGTCTTGTTATCCAGTTTTACTATTTGGGCCTTTTCCCCCATCTTTCCCCTAAGACTTTCCTGTAAAGGATCAGATGGTCTCTGTCGCAACTGCTCAACTCTGTCATTTTGTTGTCGGGCAAAGGCAGCCTTCGGCAACAATACAAGGATGGACAAGGCCAGATCTGGCCTGCCGGCTGCAGTGTGCCAACACCTGCCCTGAAGAACATTTTAAATTCTATTTACCTCATCACGCCAGAAGAACGTCCTATTTGCCTTTTTTTCCAGTCATGGGCCTCCCAGTTCCAGAGTTCAAAATGCCAGCAGTGCCTTGATTTCCTTAACAACGAAGGTTGTATTCATTAGGAAACAATTTCGGATTTTCTGATGTTCAGTGTGATTCAGCAGAAGTCCCAGTGAGGCTTGATGAGCCCTGGGCTCTGACACACCTCACTATACCTTCCCTGAGATGGTATACTCTCAGTGAACCAGGAGGCTGCCCCATGTGGAGGCCTGAAGAGTCAGCACATCTCCGTGTGCGTATGCTCCTCCGTGTTGTTCGAGAGAACGTGTGCTGAGCACCTCCTCTAAGCCAGATACTGTGCCTGGTGCTTCACATGCATTAGGTTGTATAATCCTCAACGTCCCTATAAGGGATCTGTGATGGCTACCTCAATTTCACCGAGGAGGAAACTGACATTGGGAGTTTAAGGACCGTTCCTGTCATCAGGTTACTAGTAAGTGGCAAGGCTAGACCTGAGCCTAGCTTTGTCTGATTCCAAAGACCCTGTGCTAAAAGTACATAAATACATACATAAATCCTTCCACCCATCTGTCCACCCATCCAGATTCTGTGCTAAAAGCCACAGAATCCCTGATCCCCCGCCCCAAGCCCTCCCACCCCAACACTTTCTCTTCATTTCCTTAGCAAACCTATGAACACTAGTTCTAAGACTTCTTAATGCCTCAAATGTCTTTCTTTTTGGATTATGATTTCTTCCGTCTTTTCTAAAATACAAAATTGTGTCTTCCTTATTTTTTAAGATTTTATTTTTTTTTAAGTAATCTCTATATCCAACATGGGGCTTGAACTCACAATCCCAACATCAAGAGTCACACACGCCACTGACTGAGCCAGCCAGGAGGCCCATGTCTTCCTTATGAATGTTGTTTGAGGAGGCATGTCATAGGCTCTTGCATTTGCAGAGACTAAGATTTATAGCATACATTGTTCAGGTAGGAAGAAGACAAAATCAGCACCCTTTATTAATTTTTCCCAGTGTTAGTGCTAATAATGCTAACTGGCCCAGTCCAAGTTTGGCCCAGCTTACTCTGAATGTTCCAAACTTTCAGGTCATGAGAATGTTGTTTTAACGATTTTGTATTAGAGGTCTTCCAGTTTCCCTATGAAAATAAAGTACTGGATTCTACAGGACATATCACAGATATAATCTGTATAGTCCCAAAGCCGTTTGTCTATGGCAGTGTACTGGAAAACATGACAAGCTTAATGGTCTCCTTCTACAATGTCAGGTTTAAGTAAAAAAATGAATTCTAGACTTCTTGTTAACCATTTCTCATTTTCAGTATGGTGTGCTAAAAATATGTGTTATTTTCATTTAATTAGGAGCTATATATTGAAGACAATGTCTGGAAGCTTCTACTTTGTAATTGTGGGCCACCATGATAATCCAGTTTTTGAAATGGAATTTTTGCCAGCTGGGAAAGCAGAATCCAAAGTGCGTATGGAACCTTAAAAAATTTTGTAAGAATTGTTATGCTGTTGTAATGATAATGGTGTGGCATGATTTTATAGCTGGAAGAGATCTGGACAGATGAGGTAACTGGAATCCACTGCAATTAAACGAGGCTTGCTCTGCAGTCCCACAGGTTGATAGAAGCCAGCCAGGGAACACCCTCTGAGTTGTTGACTCATCCTTTGATTCAGCTCACACTTGGCACATACTAGCAGGATGCTCGGGTCTCTTCTCTGGTATGTCGTTCACTGTGTCACCCATTCTGAAAAGCTGCTCCCTGAGCACATAGAAACATAGTCTACCTGTTGTGGGACTGGAAGAACAGTTGTTACTGAGTGGAGATGCCGTGAGAGCCCATTCTGTCCAAGGGAATTACATTTTTCATCAGGACGTACATAGTAGGGCCATTTACACCTGGGAGGGTTAAAAGAGACCCTTGCTTCCATGTCCCACTGCCCCTGAGACTATAGCAGTTTTCAGTGATCTTCTGTACCACCTACCAGCTGGGTGGTGCCCTCATGCTGTTCTCCCCAGTGACACCACCCAACTTCCTTGTTGCCAGTAATGGTTCCAGAAAAACAAGCTTGGTTCAGGAACATGCCACTGAGTAAACATATAGTCTTGAGATGAGAATACCTGGGGCCCTTCCATCTTTCTGTACTGGTCCATGTTGCTAATAGTTATGCTGTGTTTCTCCTAACTCCAAAATAAGCTTTAATGTCCCTTAAGAATTGATTTTTGAAATTAATTGTAGCGCATAATGTCCAGTGTGTGATGCTTTTCAACTATTTAAATCTTGCCACGAAAATAAGATAGAAATGTGGTTAAGGTATGATCTATCAGGTGGTTGTTACCACATTATTTTCCCACATTCCTATGAGCCCGCTGCTCATTAAAACTTTGTACCGAGCCATCTCCGTAGCAGTGGTTGCTTTGTGGTACAGGGCTACTTACATAGTTCCTGTGGACTTGTGGTAGGCAAAGCTGTGCACATAAAAACACTTTGTGGCATGACTTGACCTTAGTTCTTTCTGCTGCTACCACTCACCTTGAAGCATTTCTACATTTTTCTTCTAATCTCATGATTGATCATCCATGTGAAGTGATGGAAAACACTGCTGTGAGCCAGACACAAAACACATCGATTTCTCTAGGGATTAAGTTAGCTTCGTCATGATGATGTGAGTGGAGTAAACGTGCTTGAGCGGTGCAAGGCCACTGGCAGCCTTCCTCCAACCCTGTCACAGGAATAGCCTCCGCAGCAAGGAGGTCATATTAAGTTGCCTTTCCCAGGGTTGTCGTAACAGAGCACCACAAACCAGGTGGCTTAGAGTAAAAGCAGCTCATTGTCTCACCGGCCTGGAGGCCAGAAGTGCAAGAACAACGTGTCAGCAGGGCCAGGCCCCCTGTGAAGGTGCTAGGGGAAAATCTGTTCCAGGCCTCTCTCCTAGCTTCTGGTAGTTCCCTGGCTTGTGGCAGCAGAACTCCAGTCTTCATGTGGCATTCTCGCCGTGTGTGTGTCTGTCTCTAAATTCCCCTCTTTTATAAATACACCAGTGATACTGGATTAGGGGCCACCCTACTCTAGCGTGCTAACGACAGCTGCAACGACCCTCTTTCCAAAGCAGGCCACATTCTGAGGTGCTGGGCAGGGTCGGGGCTGGTTAGGACCTCAACACCAAGACTTCAGTTGAACCTGTAACAGAAGTGTTCTTTGAAAAGTTTATTTTGAAATAAAGAATTCTACAGGAGGAAGACTGTTCCAGGTTATGAATTCCCTCTCCACGTTATGGTGGGACAGTCCCACCTCCAGTTAAGCCCATGAAAAGGACACCAGCTCTGACAGGACTGTCTCCGGCTGTTGAGACAGGTGACTACTCACAGCTGGGGCTGAGGATGGCCTGCCACTCCCAGGTCCCCCTGTCCCATAAACTCCATTCACCTGAAGGAGGCCTCCGCCAGGCCAGAGTGAGTGCCAGAGAGTGCCACCTTCCCAGCTGCCTCCACTGCTCACCAAGTGTCACTGTGCCCCGCGGCCTTCCCTGCCCCTTTCCCCTGCTGACCCTGAGACCCATGCCAACGTCACTTCTGTGTAGCTCTCCAGCCTACCTGAAGTGCTGTCCATTAGCCATAACCACTTATGTCTTTTTTCATGTCCTCCTCTAAAAAGATATGAGTGTCTTTAAAGCAGAATCTTTTTTTACCTACTGTTCTTTCTTCACACGCTTAAATGGTTACCGAATTTGGTAACTTCCTTCATGCAAAATTAAATAATCTATATAGTTTCTTGAACACATTTCACTTATTAATTGGCTGCTTCTATTTGTTGAGTTTTAGATAGCAAATTGAAAAGACTATGATGTGAAAACACGTAAGATCTTTCCCAAGTCCCATGACAGTAATAAATGAAGTAAAAGCAGAAGATGCCCCCCCCAACCCCCAAGAAGACTACATACAGAATTTCCAGAATGAAATGTTGGTGTTCTTGATGCTGTCCGGAAATGTTAACCTGGTGCTACTCACATTGTCATCTAGGATGATCATCGTCATCTGAACCAGTTCATAGCTCATGCCGCTCTGGACCTCGTAGATGAGAACATGTGGCTGTCCAACAACATGTACTTGAAAACTGTGGACAAGTTCAATGAGTGGTTTGTTTCAGCGTTTGTTACTGCAGGTCATATCTTTATCTTTTAAATAAAGATCTCTAACTAAAAGTTGGGGTAACAGACTAGAACAACATGGGACATACATGCCAGACTGAGTCTGTGGACTTCAATGTGTCAGGTAAAAACTGCCATTTACGAGGCTACTTTTATTTTTTTTTTAGGGGAAAAAATTTTGTTTATTTTGCTTAACAGATAATTTTGTTTAACAGATAGTTTTAGAACCAAGTCTCAAATAAAACTAAGTTTAATCTGAACCATTAGGTTGATTTTACTTTATTTTGTAGTAACTTTCTAACTTTAGAATGATTATGTCCTCTTTGAGATAAAAGTTACCTAACTTCAAACCCAGTTTACGTATGCAGCTTTTCCATCACGAAATATAATGCATGTGACTCATTTGAAGGATATCGTATCACCTACTTTTCATTTTTCATTTCTGTTAAGATTATACCTTAATTCTTTCACATATGAGATTTATTATGCTTCATGACATAAGGCAAGAAGATGGAATAAAGAACTTCTTTACTGATGTCTATGATTTATACATAAAGGTATGGTATGTTCCATAACTTTTTAAATCTGACTGTAAAAAGGGATTCCGACTTTGACAGGAAATTGGCCTGTTGCAGTAACTCCCTTGTACTGCAGTTTTCATCTTAGACCAGCCCCTCCCCAGTCAGACCGATCCCTGGAAACTCCCTCATCAGGCAAGTCTTCACTGCCAGGCTAACATGTATTTAGGACAGAACTCATGGTAGTTGTTTTTAAACTGGTTTCAGTTTCCCCCTTTTGGCGCACATATCGTTGATTTTATTAGGGAACCCTAAAAAGAGAAGGAAGCAGGCTGCATAAGGGGAATTGCTTCATAATTTTAATCTAAAATATGCTCCATCTACTTTACCAGTCACAGTGCAATGATTATAGATCATAAACTGTCAGGAAGTTTACCAAATGGTCCCTCAAGGAGAATGGTGCCACTCACATTTCTTGATATTTAGAAAAAATAAACTAGAAATAGGATGTCTGTGGTTAAACTGCAGTGCTAACAGTATGTTCTTAATTAATTTTAAATGTTCTGTATTTAGACAAGATTTTTTGTCCGTATCAGCACGGTTCATATTCCTAGTCAGAATTAGCAAATAAAAATATTATATGTCTTTTTAAGATAGACAACATCAAGTAAATTAAGGTTTAAAAACTGGTTAACTCCTTTTTCTTTTTAGTGATTCAATCTGACAGTTTTCTCACATATGTTATGATACACTCATTATACTATTTAAGAACCTGATCACTCAGCCTGTGTTGTTAAAGGACAGTATTAAAAACCCGATTGTCAAAAAAATTACTACATAAGGGTCATTTAATATAGGAGCAACGGGGTATAACTTTACGAGCATATGGTGGATTTTTAGTTTTAGCCAAAGGGCCTTACAGATTAGTCCATACATTTATAATTAATGTGAGTAGATTAGTATTTCACATAAAGGGTGAATCCTGAAAGTTCATTTAGCTTACATAAGCAACACTTATCATACCATTAGTTTTGCCACAGGTAGTTCTCAAAACTAAAACACTAAGACAGAAATCTCAAGGGGTCATTACTACTTAACAGTGGAACATTTTTGTTGAAACTTAAAAATGTGGTCTTCAGACTTTTTTAGATGTCTTTGATGATTTTAGAACTTTAAAATAATTTCCTTCTAGAGATCTATGATTTGTCAGTCTTTGTACTTTGACAAGCTTACTAATACCTTCTTCTTTCCTAGTTTGCAATGAATCCATTTTATGAACCCAATTCTCCTATTCGATCAAGCGCATTTGACAGAAAAGTTCAGTTTCTTGGGAAGAAACACCTTTTAAGTTGAATGTGGAAAAATTTGGAAATAAACAATGTCACTACAATGGGGTATTCTCAGGAATGTGTATGTTGTAAGTAACTTGACTAAATAGCCTGGAAAAGTTTTACTTGTAGTCTAAATTTATCTAAACCTAATGAAATTCCTTATTATTTCAAAACAGTATATTGAGTTTCTTATGATTATCAACAGATCAATATTTGTGAACAGTGTTATTTATAAACTCTCTATAACCTTGGAAATATCTTTCTTCTAAAAATTAAGAATGAGCTTTTGACTTTACTCATTCAGATAGCTTGATCTTGTCACAATTCAGAACCAAATGTCATTGTCAAGATTTTGGTAGATTGAAAACTGGAAGTTTCTGCAGTATGGACTGAAGTTGATAGCATGTACATGGGCTTCTGCACATCTAGAGATATTGTTATAAAACCATCTAGGCAGTATACATAGCACTCCCCAAGAAGCCGGAGCAAACAGCGTTTGCAGTGCCAAATGCCACAGGCCTGCCTCTGTCAAAGTGATGCCGCTATAAATCCAGAATCCTGGATCCATGTTTGTAAAATGGGAGGCTGGGACCAAAGTGACAGGTTATGTTCTTATATTGCCTTTCCCTCCGACAGTAAACTAAAGTAAGTGAACCTGCTGGTAGTTATACCAGTAAAGAGTAATTCTGGAATTGTAAACAAAGAAAAGTTTATATTACATTAGCATTTGCATTCTTAGCT